TCCCACCTTATGAGGTCCTTCATTTAGTTGCCTTCCAATGTATATCGTGTTCAGTTTGTGCGATGTTTTCTGCTAATTCTGATTTGTCGGTACCCATTTTCTTGCCAAGCCAGAAAGATAAGATACGGACCTAAGGGCCAATTAAGCAGATCAGGACCGGAGTCTCAAGGCTTGATTCGTATGCTGATTTTTTCCCCTGTTTCGCGAATATATTTCTGTTTGCAGGAGCTACATGCCATGCACGCAACACAGCATGATAGAGTGGACAAATATGATTGCTCGGGAGTTTACTGTATGGTGTGCGGCGCCATTCGTGGTAGTGTGTTAATACAGTTCCAATTCGAGTGACCCAACGTTTAGAGCTACCTGGTCGGAGAAATTAGTGACGATTTTCAGGTAATGCCCACCCTAAGAACTCAAGTTGTGAAGGTGGTGTGGCTGTGGTGTGATTAGTGTCTTGGAGAAAAAGCGAGGCAAAAAGCATAAAACGAATTTTTGTGGTGCAATGTGCTTAGGTTCAAAATATTCTGATTATCCTCTTCAAGACTTTTTGCTAATTTGCATCGACAGCAGTGATAGTGAAGTGTTGTTTAGAGTCCCTTTGGATTTGGCAAATTAGCAAATCGAATAGCCTTTTCACAATCAATTTGTCCATACTGCCTCTAATTCCCGCTTAAAAAGTGTCTGCATACGATGGGATAAAACAAATGAATAAATAAAATGTTAGGGATAAATAAATAGCATCTACTGATCCTCATGGGGTGTCCGGATAATGAGCTGCTTTACCACCGGATATGCTTACTTTCCGTCATCTCCAAGCAACAGCACACCCTGACACCAAGCATCGGTTGCGCCCCATGTCTCCTTAGTCATCAGTTCGGTGCTCGCACCATTACCCTCTTCGCCGTCAACTTGGTCTTTTGCATGCGCTACAGTAACGTATTGACCTACACATTTCACTTCTCCACCAGCTTCAGAGGCTGTTGGGCTGGTCGAAGTCCTGATTCGCTGTTGCGGCGAGAGAGGACCTGCCGGAGGTGGAGCGTTAGGGGCGCGGAAGACCGGCAGATCTGATCTCCGAGGTCCGCCCGACTCGAGAGTGCGGGCGTTGAACGAGGCCTCAGGGCCTGACGATCCCGGATCCCTCTGGCCGGTGCTGGCTGCGGGAGGGACTTGGCTCTGTGGAACTCGCGGGACCGGCTCAGGCTCGAGCTCCTCGATTGTGTAGAAGAGTTGGGCCTGCGACGTAACTGCCCATCGGGAGACCCAAGTGAATCGGAAGCTGATGGGCAGGCGTGGCGCGACGAGACTTGCGGTGCTGGCTAAAAAGCGGCTTTGCCCCGGATTATCCCCCCCTCCGACGTCGACAATGCGTGCGGCTCTGTCGGCCAGGATTGATACGATGTCCTGAGAGTAAAGATGATGCAAAAACTAGACATCAAAGCACCTCTTAATATAGTTGAGCTCACTTTCTACGTCGAGTAAAACTCTTTTGTGAAAAGATTCGTTGGAGGATCCCACCAGAAGACGATAGTGAATTTCTCTTGACCAGTTGTCTACTAGCTTTACAGAAAATTCCTGTTGTGGCTGTTTCCGAGGAAATATCCTTCGATTCCTATGAAAAAGTGCTAAGCTTTCGTTCATTATATGACGAAAAGCAGGCTACCATTCTTACAACAATATTCAAGAAAACTCATCCGCTTCTCCTTAAATGCTGCATATATGGTGGAGTACGCCGTCGTCTTCTGATCAGATCTACCTTAGAATCTCTTCACTCAGAAGTCAAGTAAACTCAATAATTATTAATCAGGAGATTACTCGAAACCTCAAATTTTCTTCGGAACTTTTACTAATTTTTAAATATACGTTCAGTCATTTCTTCAGTCCTTTTCTGCTTAATTATCTTTCTCATATAATAGAGGTTAAAATAGGTGTTAATGCGTAAGAGATAACAAGAGTACTGAGTCTAGCAGATGTAAATCACCTGGAACAGGAAATGTGAGGATAAAATATTAATAATTAGTAAACGAAATGAAATGAAGTAGCCATTTGATGAAAGACAGAGGGATTGACATCTTATTAGTCTTCGAAAAAGATAGACGAATTATTGGGGGGGGGGAAATAGCACTAGGAGAATGTACGAAAATGGAATAACACTTTCCTCGGTTATGTCTCCTTTCCATCTGTGCCAGGCTTCGATAAAGTTTGCCGTTCGTGTGGCACACACATCAAAGGTTACCTGAATATAAAGTCGACTAAATAGGTTAATTGGTCAAAAATGTGAACTGGCTGAAGACTAAGCCAATGCAGAATACCAGATAGTGGTCTGGATATGGAAACGCTGCAGTTAAGCACAGAGAATAGTTAATGTGAATCAATATAAGGACTCAGATAAGTCGCGAAAAACTACTTATGAAACGAAAAAAAAGAAATTTTATTGAAGATGTGAAGACCAAGATGTTGTGGCCTCGGGTATGGTCGCAGTTTCCTTTCGACTTATAGAAATGGGTTGACCTCGTTGTCGCAACTTGGTCTTGTGTTCAGGGAGACTATGTA